AGGATCCCATTGCACCCAAGTGGTCTCCTGGGACCTCCTTTTGTTCAGTTCTGAGTATCTCTGGCAAATCAAAGGAGAACACCCTGGCTTGCCTATTGGTGATGTTGCAAAGAAACCGGGAGAGATGTGGAACAGCACTGCTGCAGATGAGATGACAAGCAGCCCTAGGAAAAGAAGGCTGCCAAGGATTTTGCTGCTTACAGAGCTAAAGGAAAACATGATGCAGGGAAAAAAGAGCTGGCCAAGGCTAAAACGAACAAGAAAAATAGGGAAGAGGAAGATGAGGAGAAGGATGAAGAGGATGAGCAAGAGGAAGATATGATGATGAATACCTTGGTTCTAGCACATTTTTCTTGTCTATAAACCATTTAACCCCCCAGTACAAAACACACCGCTTTTTTAAAATGACATGTAAAACTGTGTAAGAATTGTTTTCAAACTATACAGTGTCTTTTTTTTGTATAGTTAATGTAAGCATTATGGTGGCTCAGATGGAACTGTATTCTGGCACTTGGGAGCCAAGGAATACCACAGGTCACAGTATCTGGGGCAGCTTAAAGCCCTCCTGCAGAGAAAAGCTTCCCCAGAGTAACAGCTCTGCTCTGGCAGGGGAAGCTTACCCTGTTCTGCTCCAGTCCCCCAGAGTATAACAACTCCATTTCGCTAGGGCAAAGTTTCCCTTGGAAAAGTGTTATAATCCTGCTCCACTCCTCTCTGCTCTGGCTGACACAAAAATTTGTTACTTACCTAATTTTAGGGTCAGAATGTATTTCTTTCACTGGCTCTGATTCTAGGACCAAAGTGTGTTTCGTTGTCACTAGTTTCAGGGTCAGGGTGCATTTCTTTGACCCTGGTTTCTGGGCCAAAGTGTGTTTCTTTGGCTCTGCTCAGGGTGTGTTTCTTTGTTTGCCCTTTTCCCTTACAATTAACACACTACCGAATGTGTCTTTAGATAGACCTGTCCTAGTGGTATTATCTTTTCTTTTCTTTTTCTTTTTTTCATTTTATATACCAACCTCAGTTTCCCTTCCCTCCCCTTTTCTCCCCTCTTCTGTCTCCCATCCCACCTTCCATTTACTCTTCTGAGTTGTTAAGGCCTCCCTTGGGAAGTCATCAAAGATTGGCACGTCAAGTTGCAGGAGGACCAAGGCCCTCCCACCCTGTATCAAGGCTGAGCAAGGTATCTGACCATGGAGAATGGGCTCCAAAGAGCCATGCACCCAGAATAAATCCTGCAACCACTGTCAGGGTTCCTCCCAACAAATCAAGCCACATACCTGTCACCCACATTCAGAGAGCCCATTTCAGTCTCATGCAGGTTCCCCAGCTGTCAGTCCATTGTCTGTGAGCTTCCACTGTCTCAGGTCAACTCTCTGTGGTTTTCCCAATCGTGGTCTTTACTCATGTAATTCATCCTCCCTCTCTTCAACTGAACTCTAGGAGCTCAGCCCAGTGCTTAGCTTGTGGGTCACTGCATCAGCTTCCATGAATTCCTAGATGTAGGTTCTATGATGACAGTTAGGGTGGTCACTAATCTGATTATAAGGGAAGGCCCATTCAGGCACCCTCTCCACTATTGCTATGAGTATTAGCTGGGGTCATCTTTGTGAATTCAAGGGAACTTCCCTAGGACCAGGTTTCTCCCTACCCCGATAATGGCTACAGCTATTAAGATACCTCTTTCATTGTTCTCTCTCTCTCTCTCCCCTTTCAATCCCTCCCCTAACTCTGGCTTCTATACCCCATCCCAGTGAATATTAAACATAAAGCAAAAGATAACTCGACTACAATCCATAACCCCAGAGAAGCTAACCTAGGTAAAAAGGAGGACCCAAAGAGTGACACACATGGAGGTCCCCAAGAAGGGGAAATAGTTAAAATCTCCTCATGGTATTTGCAATTGCCATTAACCTTACCTGGTACAGTCTGGGGGTTGGAACGGAAATTTAAAGCAGGTTACTGCTGATGCACATCACAAATGAGTTATCTATGGGGATAGTAGTTTTTTGTTTGTTTGTTTGTTTTGTTTTGAGTTTGTTTCTTTGTTTGCTTTGGTAATTTTTTCATCTTCAGTAGTCTCTGATGCAGCTTATATGAAGACAATTGCTGTTCTGCTAAATAAATACAGCTCTACAGTTGTAAAAATAAACTGCAGCTGTTTAGTTGACATTCTGAGTGCTTTATTAAAACAAAAGGGAATATATATGGAATCAAATTTAAGAAATGCTATATTAATAGTGATGGGATTAGCATGTTGAGAAAGAAAACCTTGCTCATAAATGAAAAATTCCAAGGAGAGTTGTGTAAGAAACAAAAAAGGAATCCTAGGTAAGAAGTCATCATTATGCTGTAGTAGTTAAGCATTAAATATTAGGCAATATAGCATAGGTAAAGAATCAACTTACTTTGAACATTTAAATTAGGAAGATACATACCAAGAAAACATGATAATATTTCAGTTCATGAAGCAAGTACAGAACAAAAAAGAAGAAGGGGGAAAAAGCTGTTAAAAAAACCCAACAGGTAATTTTCTATAATTAAGAGGAAATTATGCTTTTGATTCTAACGCCTCCTTATACATTGAGAAATTTTAATAGATAGACAAGGACAACTGAAAAATCAAAAAGTGTACAAAATTAAAAAGATTGTAATGAGAAAGTTGGAACTAAATAAAACTCACACCCATTATTTACAAGTTGGCCAAAGGAAGAATTTCTTCTTTTGTAGACATATGGCAGAGGTATAGTACCAAGAATAAACACTGACAACAAAATTGCCACCAAGGAAACAACCCAATAAAAATGGGTAATGCAACTTAGCAAAGATTTCTTAAAAGATGAAATCAAATCACACCAAATTATTTTTCATTGTTCAAAGAAACGACCATGGAGGTACTTGCTCATCCATGGTTATTGCTGTTATAGTCACCACACCTGGAAAAATGGAAGCAAAGTATATGTATGTCAACTAATGAATGGATAAAGAAAAGGCAATACATTTATACATGGAATATTACTCTATTGTTAAGAAAAAATGAGGTTATGAAATGCCCAAATAAATAGATCAAGTTGGAAACGTTCATTTTGATCAATGAAACCCAGACCCGGAAAGCCAAATGTTACACTTTCTCTCTTCTGTGGGCATTAACTTTGCATCTTTGTGTGTTTCATAAATTAATATTCTGAAGATCAGGAAATAAGTAAAAGGGCAATGGAAGAAGGAGCTTTCAGGAAAGGAGACAGTGGTAGATTTTTCCAAAGAAACTTTGAGTAGGCTTCCATAGTGAATTTCTAGTCATAGAAGTCTCTGAGCCAAAATACTGAGTCCTACATTTAACACCAAGAATATACACAAGGATACAAAAGTACAGCTGAAACCCACTCAGAATTAAAAAAATCAGATTAAAACATTACGGAAATAATTATCTAAGTACAAAATAGAGTCATCTTAAAGGAAACAAAGTATAAAAATAATGAAGTTATCTTGTGAGTCTCACTGTGAACAGAAAAATCGCTTCAATTAAAATTATTTACAAATACCAATGATATTTTGATCAGTGGTGAGTAATGATTACAGTACAATCTTAGTGTTTCAATCAGAAAACCAAGTATAAAAGGTGCATGCTTAGGGAGGAAGAATGATAATTTCCACATCCTTCACAGTGTTGGGCAAAGTTATATTACAAATTTGAAAGTGGAGAGGTAGAGTGCAGAGGTGAAGAATTTATTTCATATGCAAAATTCTATGAATTCAGCCTAATAAAACTCTTAGAACTAGTAAACATAGTAAGGACAATCCATGAAAGAAAACACTAAAAAAAATACAAAAAATTTAAAGTCTACATGTTTATATATATATATATTAGATTACTATAACATGCAATGTTTCACAAAATACAGTGAATTGTCATGAAAACATATTTGTATCCACACAAATTAATAAATTATACAGCTGCTAAAGACATCATTTCAAATCAGTGAAAATATATGAAGCTTTGGAGACAATGGTAATTAATTAAACAATTATTATTTTTATTTCATGTCGTACATAAACTGATAGCAGACTAGAAACTCACTGTGTGTTTATAGACCAGTAACATCTGAGTAAGGAAAAATATTGAGTAAGGAAAGTGCTCAAAAAATAAAAGGAACTCAGCCAGAAAGATTTGTCTACATGGTTATATAAAAATTCCTGTGGGTGGTTCCATCCCTAAGCTGGTGGTTCTGTGTCCTATAAGAAAACAGACTAAGGAAGCCATGAGGAAGAGTAAACCAGTAAGTGTAACCCTTCCATGGCCTCTTCATCAGTCTCTGCCTCCAGGCTCCTGACATATTTGAGTTCTTGATCTGACTCCTTCAGTGATGAGCAGGGATATGGAAGTGTAAGCCAAATGAAACCTTTCCTACACATGTCACTTTGGTCATGGTGTTTCATCATAGTAATAGTAACCTCAAACTAAGACAGACTATGTTTTGGTGAAGATTATGGAAGTGTTTTGGAACTTTGTGCCAGATGAGCCATTGAGTGTTGAGAGCTCAGTGGGCAGTTCTGCTGGAACTTTGTAGATTTAAAAAACAAATAAAATGAGAGCAGTGCAGAGGATGAGGTCCGGATTGTGCCATTTCAGAGGGAAGTAAATAGTCTGCCAGGAATTTTTTTGTGAAGACTCTTGTGAGCTTGAGCTAGAGAATCAGCTGTGATTAACAAGATACCAGAAACACTAAAGTAGAACCTTTACTTTGCTGGGACAACTAATGCTAGCTAAAGCTGAAGAATTAGCAGTGATTTAAAAGAGAGTAGCATCATTGAGGCGAATCTTCTGGGAAGTGTTTCCTCAGAGTCAGCACAGAAAAGATGTGTTTCAGAGACAACCAAGCTTGTACATAGTGCATGCAGCTGAACTTGCTGTGTAAGAGTCACCCAGGTGGTACTGATTTTGAAGGCATAAAGAAGTAATGGAGAGCAGCTGGGGCTTGGCACTATTTTTAGGCCAAGACAGGTCATTGGTGAAGTTGTAGCCTCAGCAACAGTTGAAAGCCCAGGAATGAAAGGGTCATGCAGGGATGTTGAGACTTGACACCATGAAGAGAGACTAGGAGAAGCTATTAGTAAAAGTGGATCCCAGTTGCAGCAGAAGGCCCCAGAACTTTGGAGATGCCCATGCCATGGGTTGGCTACCAAGAACAGTAGCAGCGGTAGAGTGGGGCTAGCCAGAGCATAGGAGGCAAACTGCACTTGGTACACTGGGAGGAGCCTAGGAAGTTATGCAAACGCTTTGGAGGAGCCCAGAAGATGCTGAGTGATCCCATTGGACAGTGAGTGATGGACATTGAATTAATTGTGCTTTTGGAGTTTGGTTTGGAATTTCTGATATTGTGAATGTGCCCTGATTCTTACCTCTTGAAATAAGGTATTTACTTTTGACTTTATAGGAATCCACAGTTGAAAGTCTTTGAATCTTAAATGATTCTGGATTGTAAAAGAGCTTGGATATTTTAAAGAGAATGAACTTTTTAAAATTAATTTTTATTTAATTAAAACAATCTTATTTTACGTACCAATTCCAGTTCCCTCTTGCTCCAGTCTTCTCATTGCCCCCACCAATCCTCTGACCCCCCATCCACTCCTCAGGGAGGGTGAGGCCTCCCTTGAGGGTATCATCAAAGTCTATCACATCATTTGGGGTAAGACCTAGACCCTCTCCCATGTATCTGGGCTGAGAGAGTTTCCCTCCATATGGAATGGATTCCTAAAGGCCATTCAAGCACTAGGGACAGATAATGGTTCCACTGTCAGAGGCCCCATAGATTTCCCAGACCCCCGAACTGTCACCCACATTCAGGGGGACTGATTGGGTCTTATGCTGGTTCTCCAGCTTTCATACCGGGGTCTGTGAGGTTCTATTTGCTCAGGTCAGCTGTTTCTGTGGGTTTCTGGAGAGGATAACTTAAATGCTCTATAATGAGGTTGATGACTACCTTAAATGTCATCATAGAGCCTTCATCCAATAGCTAATGGAAGCAGAAGCAGAGATTCACAACTAAGAACTGAGCCAAATTCCTTGAATCCAGTTGTAGAGAGGGAGGAGTGATGAGCAAAGGGGTCAATATCGTGATGGGGAAACCCACAGAAACAGCTGACCTGAACAAGGGGGAGCTCATGGACACCAGACTGACAGCTGAGAAACCAGCATAGGGCTGTTCCAGACCCTTTGAAAGTGGATGCCAGTTTCAATGTCTGGTTAATCTATGCGGACTCTAGTAGTGGATCAGTATATATTACTAATTCACGAATGGACTTTGGTAGCCCTCTCCACATAGAGGGATACTCTCTCAGCCTAGACACACGGAGGAGGGTCTAGGTCCTGCTCCAAATGATAATACAGACTTTGAAGATTCCCCCATAGAAGGCCTCACCCTCCCTGGCGAGCAGAAAGTGAATGGGATAGAGGTTGGTGTGGGGCAGAGGAGGAGGGGGCGGGAGAGGGAACTGGGATTGGTATATAAAACAAGCTTGTATCTAATTTAAATTTTAAAAATTGGGGAAAAAATTTATTTCTTAACAGTGACATAATTCTGTGTTACGATGACAAGAGTGAATTGTATTGGCTAGTTTTATATCAACTTGATACAAGCTAGAGTCATAAGAAATGAAGCGACCTCAGTTGAAAAAATGCCTCCATGAGACAGGGCTGTAAGCAGGCTTGTAAGAATTTTTCCTTAATTATTGATTGATGGATGAGCGTCCAGCATATTGTGGGTGATTCCATCCCTGTGCAGGTGGTCCTGGGTTCTATAAGAAAGCAGGCTGGAAAAGCCATGGGGAGTAAGCAACTAAACAGCACCCCTCCATGGCCTAAGCATCAGTCCTGCCTCTAAGTCTGCCCTGTTTCAGTACTTGTCTTGACTTCCTTCAATAATGAACAGTAATTTGGAAGTATAAGCCAAATAAAGTCTTTCCTCCCCAAATTGATGTGGTCATGGTTTTTCATTATAGAAATAGTAACCCAAAGTAAGACACATACTGACAGAAAGTTTTTGACAGTTTTCTAAAAGCAAAATATTAATGCTAGATTTGCAAAGAAAGAGCAACCAAAAAAACAAACAAGAAATTACATAGCAGTTAGGAATAAAAATGAATGTGTTATTGGATATAAATATGGGTTGGAAACTGCAACACTTCTGCTCTATACACTTTTCCTTTATTTGTATACTTACAATATAATTCATAATTTTTATATTACTTTCAAGTAGGGCATTGGTATTATAATAAAATATATGTTCAGTAAAACTGTTATGAAAAATTATTGTTTAATTTGTAAATATGTGATGTTTTATGACTCTTTAGATGGGCATGCATCAATCATTGACTGGGAAAGGTACGTTTTTAAAAAATATACATATACTAAAACCAAATGATTTAGATTTCTTAGGATTAATCTTGACAAAAGGGAGGGTGGTCGATTAAACAATATGACATGGGCTAGAAATAGTTCTGTCCTTCTCAGTAGATACGGAGGCTAGTAAACAGAACTGACTAAAGTGGAGAGGACATGACACTAAGGCAATCCAGGAATCAGTGGTGCTGAAGCCCCTGAACATGAAGTATTAATATAAGTTTACAATGGTGAATGAGTGTAATTCACAGGAGAGCAGAAAACAGCTCATCATAAAATGAAACATATCCAAATTTCTATTTCATATTTTCCTTTTTCTGTAAAAGGCACCTCCAATTCTAATCTAGGTTTTCAATGAATTACATTGCTTCATGTTAAGTAATGATTTTAAACTAATGATCTATCAAATGCACTTTTCTAAAAGCAAAAGGGGGTGGTTAAATAAGATGATTCTTAAGTTTCCTTTTCATTTTTCATTACAGAAAATCAGACAGTCACAGGATCAAGGACCTGGGCATTAATGACACATTATAGAGAGTGAGTAACTTTTTCATCTTCTCTCTTTCCCATATTGTCTCCTCTCTTTGTATTTCTGCATTATGGACAACAGTATCATTGTCCAGCTCAAAGATTATTCTAAACTCTTTGACTTACCTAAAAGAATAGTGAGGAAAATTATGTTTAGAAAGTGAGTTATCATAATTCATCCTATATTTCAGCAAAACGTGATCCTCCTGCCTCTGCCCCCTTCAGCAAATCCTACTGGCGTGTGCCACCACAACCAGCAAAACAAGGAGATTTTACCCACATGTTTAATAATAGGAGTTTGAATTATATTCCATCCAGACTCATTGAAAATTATACTGCCATTTAATACAAAATTAGAAACTAATATTAATTACTTGCCAGAATCTGGAACTAAAATGATATTTATGAAAACGTATATGACAGCATAAGGAAACATTGAAATAGTCATAATGATGTAATAAAATTTATGAAAAATCAATTTATGTTTATAAAACTATACAACTACTGCATACCTAAATGGACAAAATGATATGGGAACTTATAATATTAGAAACGTTTGTTTTTCATTGTATCATATTTTGATGTAAAATTATTTTTTGTCGAATTTTTGCTTAGAATTTGAGAATTCCATCTTTCTACTTTGCTTTCAGGCCTACCACTGAGCTTTTCAACACCTAACAGAGGAAAAATTAGGTTCCAGTTACTCTTTCGTTGATGAATAATTTCCTTTTTTATTTAGTTCAAGAGTGTTCAGGGATTCTATCCATATCATACTCAGCATGGATGCTTTAATGTCTTTGATAATGTGAGCATCTTTTCTTAATGTTGACATCTATTCCTTACATTTTTCATGCAACTTGAGATTTTTCTGTTCCTTTACATGATAGGAGAAGCTTCAAAGCTAGGTATTTTTCCTAATTGTAATAGGAGTGTGGTTTTATCTGTCATCTGCTTCAGCTGGATTTTCTTACATGGTGATAGTATCATTTTGTCTTTGCCATAAAGTGGCAGAGTGTTCATCTGCTGACAGGTCACTGATAACAACCTGAAATTTAGAAACTGATTATTTTCTTGGTCACCTACACATCCTGATGGCCATTAACACTTCTAGTGGATCTTACCTTTTGCTTTATATATAAGGTGTGTGTGAATTAATCATTATTCCTCATAGCTAAGTGGAAAACAATGTATGTCTTTTCTTTCTCAGTGCCAATACCAGGACACATTTTGAAGAATTAAAATTTTGCTACATGGATGAAAGAGTGGTAATTCACTGGGTAGAAGAAAGCTGACACACACATACACACATGTTTACACCCCCACACACATATGTATATGCTTCCCTATGGCTCCTTCAAACATCTATAGAGTTATCTTGCCTTTGTTCTACCCTCACTTTACCATTTTAAACTTCTCCGGGTTATTCCCCTTTATCATTACTCTCCCATTCTATGTGTTTTAAGCAACCTTCCTCTCTTAAGAGCGTCCCACCACTGGTGATCCCTACAGGTACTCGAAATGAAGTACCCACAACCAAAGATGCTAAGATAGAATCTGCATGAGAGAGGGCATACACCCAGAAACACTTCTGGGTCTGTCTTACCTACCTTAGAAGAATTAGTTTCGGCTTCACCAATGTACCTCTAAGCTTTATCATTTCATTTTGTTTCATAGCAATATAAAATTTGATTACTTACAAGTGTTCCCTTTTCATTATCTATTCATCAACTTATAGTATCTAGGTGAATTGCAGTTTTCACCTGTTGCCACTAACATAACAATGGCCACAGATGCAATAGCATGCAGAATCCTGTGTGTGTGTGCTCAAAAGTTATATATCTGGGTCACACGGTAAATCTGTTTATAACTCTGAGTGACCTCCATGTGGTTTTCTAGAGTCTCAATGGCACTTTGTATCCCCACCAGCAGTGAATAAGGGTTGCCATTTCTTTATATCCGTGTCAACATTGTTGTTAATTTGCTTGCTTATTTTTCCCCATTTTGACTAGTGTAAAATGAAATCTCAAATTGGTTTTAATTTACATTTCCCTAATTTTGAAGGATGTTGAAGCATTTTAAGCATTTTTGGTCTTTTGTGTTTTTTATCTTTAAGGAATTCTCTGTGCAAGGCTCACACCATTTTTAAATTGGACTGTTTTCTTGATTTTTTAAAATTTATTTGTTAACTCTAGATATGCACTGGGAGGCAGAGGCAGGCAGATCTCTGTGAGTTCGAGGCCAGCCTGGTCTACAGAGCGAGTTCCAGGACAGCCTCCAAAGCCACAGAGAAACCTTGTCTCGAAAAACCAAAAAAAAAAAAAAAAAGGATGCTAATCCTCTGTTGAGTGTATAGCTTGTGAGGATTTTCTCTCTGTGGGCTTCCCCTTTACTCAACTGACTTCTCTTTGCTGAACAGAAATTTCATGAAATCCCCTTTGTCAATGGTTTATATAAATCCATGTCTTATTTACTTTATTATTTCTGAGACAAAACACGATGGCCAAAGCAATTCATAAAAGAAAATATTAAGTCTGGCTTATAGTTTCAAAGGTCTTAGAGTTCTAGTGGCCACAATAGTTAAAAACACACCTCTTAAAAAAAACACACCTCTTGATTTGTAATTAGGAGGCAAAGAGGGAGTGCACACTAGGAATAGCATGAGTCTTTTGAAACCTCAAAGCGCATACCCTAGTGGCATACTTTCTCCAACAAAAGTACGTCCTCATCCTTCCCAAATAGTCACACAAACTAATAACAAAATATTCAAACTTGTGATCCTGAGATAGCCATTCACCTTCAAACCACTAAATTTCCGGAGTGGATGGAGTCTTAATCTGATATACTTTATCCAAAACTACATGTTGTAGTGAGCTAACTACCCTTCTAGGAATTTCAGTTTTTGATTTTGTATTGAGGTATCTGACCCATATGGAGTTGATCTTTGTGTACAATCAGATATTGGGTCTAATTTTATTCTCACATTTGGGCATCCATATTTCTACCTGTGGATATTCAGTTTTGTCAACAACATTTGTTGATAATGCTATATTTTCAAAAATTGTGTATTTTTAGAATATTTTTGTGAAAAATTAGGTGTCTATAATTCTATAGTGTTGTATCTGGTTCCTCTAATCTTTTCTTCCTGTTTTGTTCATATTTATCATTCGTTTCTTTTACATATTTTATTAGAATGATTTTACCTTAAAATATTTATTTTAATGTGTATGGGTGTTTCACAAACATATATGTCTGCTCAATGTGCACGCAGTCCCTATGGAGACCAGATGAAGGTTCTGGGTCCCATAGAAGAGTTTTAGATGCTTAATAGCTTCCATTAGGGTCTGGCAAATGAACAAATGTCCTCTGCAAAAGTCACAAGTACTCTTAACTACCAAGCCTTCTCTCTTGCCCAGATTATTTTGTTTCTTTATTAACTAAAACATCTATTAAGTTTAATATTTAAAAAGTTTACTCTCTCTATGTCTCTCTAACTCTCTGTGTTTGTGGGTATTTTACGCATGTACCTTTTATTTGAAATTTGTTGCTAAAACATAATTATACCTGGAAGGTTCTAAATTCATTCCATATACCAAACTATGTTTCAGTTAGAAATATTTTGCAGTATGGTCTGAGTGGACATACGGCTGATTTGTTATTTTCCTTTGAAATCATTTTACATGGCTGTTTGTGGCATACCAGTTGGTTATAAATACTTTGTAAGCTGCAACTGTAAGAAACTACCTGTGCATTTCCTTTAACATCCTTAGCAGAAAAATATCCCACAAAAGATTAGAATGTCATTAGACACATTGTGCATTTGATGTTCTACATGTGCCAAAATTTTGTAATTAGCTTGTATAACCTGTAATTTTCCTTGGCTTCTGTTATGATATCTTCCCCTTCAAAACCTCAATTCCAATTGTGAAATAATTTAAGAGTTCAATAGGAAATTTAGGAAAACCAAATTTAGTGCTATCTAGAAACTGCTATACTTAAAAAATTATAAAAAATGTCATTTGCTTAAAATAGATATAATTTATAATTGAATATAGTTCGCATGGCTCTGATTGAGTTTGACTGTCCTGGTTTTGGATAGACAAGGACAAATAGTGTTTATTTATGTAAAAGGGACAGCAAAACTCACATGACACCTTTAATATATGTTTATTTTTGCAGAGCTTACAAGATCATTTTAAATTCTGAATAGGGTGTGACTAAACTCTAAGTGAAATAATTATATAAAAGTTTACACTTCACTTCACTAAATGAAGTATGCCATAAAAGACATAAATGTGAAAAAGTTTAAAACCACCTTTTTCTGTAATAATGGCTTCAAGCTAAAATTTCATATATATACACAGCTAGAGAAAGAAAAACATAGAAACAAGATGAAGGCAATATCCATAATGCACTAATTTTTTATTTTGGTAATAAAAATATAAAGTGTTTGTTCCATTTATGTTTATGAATATATGAAATTACTTTCATAAGTATATTAGTTTTATAATCAGAAGCAAATAAGCTTTGTATTTTGATATCAAAATAGTAAGTCAGTGCTTACGCATATTGTGATCTTAATGTACTTCCCTTTTCAACCCATGTTTCTATGTGATCAAAAAATCCTGAATGTTTTAAACTAGAAAAGGTCAAGATGAGATACTTATACACCAAAGAGGAGACCTAAGTTAGTAATTAGCAGTAATAATCAACGCAGATTAATGATTGTCTCAGAAAGTCCATTGCTGTGGGCCATTAACCCTAGCATAGCAATTAATTCCCAAGGAAATGCTCATTGTTTCAAAGGTCATTCCCATGGTTAGAAATTATTACAAAGTAAATCCATACTAAAGTGTTCACTGTTGGAAACGAAGTACCTGCTATTAGTCAGTGACATTTAGTCATATCGGTTTGATTTTGTTATGACTGAAAAGGTATTTGGGTAAACATTATTGTGAGGGTGTCTACTGAGTATTATTAAGTAGACTAATTTCTGAATTAGTAGAAGATAC